CTCCAGGCCAGCACCATCTTCACCTCTGCATCCAGAAGCCTGCGCTGGCTCAGACGGCGTTTCTCACACATGTTTCTGCCTCGGCTGCTGCACTTCTATTTTGGTCTCCCTTTTATTTTCTGTGTTTTGAATGCTGCTACTTCATATTATGCTGTGAACCAAAGCATTTTCTCTGACATTAAAAAAGGACTCTATTTTCATCAGCTGCATTTATCCTGCACTCTGCTTGGTTTCCCTGCAGAGCTGAGAACGCTGTGTACCCTCTGGCCGGATTCTTCCGCCTCGTCATCGGCCCGTATCTCCGCTGACCACCTGTCCGCTGTGATGAGCTCAGGTTTCTACAACCTCCAAGGTGAGATGTTGGGCCTGTTAGCCCACATTTTGAAGAATTTTGTACTAGTTGCCAACATTTCAGCAGGAAATGTTACTTTAAAAACCTGGTTACCAGGATTCTCTTGAAAACACTGGCCATCTAGCAACACCGGCCTGCAGTCTCTGTGGCCTCAGTGAGCTGGGGCTCAGAAGCAGCTGCTCACTTAGATAAGGCCTGTGCGCCTTGTTCAACACAGTCCCCGCCACTCCCTACCACTCCGTGACACAAAGGCCGAGTGATAGGTGCCTTTTATCATCACTCTTGCATTATTAATTTACATATATTGGAGTTAAAAGTGAGATATTAAACGTACCCAGGTTTCTAGCAAAAGTGGGAAAATGTACAAGCAATAGAAAGGACTGCATTTTCAAGACAAATAAGAAAAATTCTATTTCAACGGAATAGTATTCATCCATGAGAAAAAAAAGAAATCTTGCCATTTGTGACAACATGGATGGAGCTCAAGAGCATTATGCTAGTGAAATAAGTCAGACAGAGACAAATACAGTGTGATATTACTTGGGTGGAATCTAAAAAGAACAAACTCAGAGAAACAGAGTTGAGTGGTGGTTACCAAGGGGTGGGTGGGGGGTGGGGAAATGAGGAACGATTGCTCAAAGGGTGCAGTCTTTCAGTTATAAGATTAACAAGTCTGAGAGTCTCATGTACAGCATGCTGATTATAGCTAATAACATGGTATTGCATATTGAATGTTGCTGAGAGAGTAGATTTTAAACATTCTCACCAGAAAAAAAGAAATGCTAACCATGTGACAGGATGGAGGTGGCAGCTACTGCTATGGTGGTGATCATTTTGCAACATACACGTGTATCAAATCAACACATTGTACACCTCAAACTTACACACTCCTATGTGTCAATTATATCTCAATAAAGCTGAAAAAAGGAAAAGTGCATTTATTTGTGGAAGTGAACCATTTCTTCCCCCTGCCTGGCCCCTGCAGGTGTTGGGTTTGTGACGTCTACTCTAGGAGGTCCCCAGTGGTCACATGCTTCTCAGTTGACGTGTACAGACCATGACATCTGGCCTCTCCTATCCCTCAAATGTCAAGGCTTCTCTGGTCTACGTTCTTTGTGGGGCGAGCGGGGGATATTTATCCTGTCTGTGCTTTAGAGAAAAACAACAGACCATTTTCTCAATGGTCATATCCTGTTTGCTTTCAAAACCATGCTTCTTCTCTCACAACTGTGCTAAATAACGAAAGAACAGAGATTAAAGTTTAGAAAGTGGAAGCCTCTCAATAAGTGTTTTCTGCAAGCCTTTAAGACTTTTGAACTTGATGATAGGTCTGGGTTACATAGACATCTTTGCAGGAATCTTTTGTCAATTAACATTTTCCCAGAATGATGTGCCCCCCCACTTCCCAAGGATTCCAAGACCAGTATATTACATTACTCTCAAGGGTTTGAGATCGAGCCGGTTTAGAGCTTGTCCAAACTAAGAAGAGAAAGAATCAAGATTCCTCACATTTCCTCTCGTTCTTCCTTCTCACCTGGATGAACGCTCTCAACTAAACCTCGCCACTCAGTGTCAGAGCTAATGGCAGCAGAACCCAGCTTTTCTTTTGATTCACAAAGAAAGCTCTAAAGTTCACCTTTACCCCATTTAAGGACTTTGGAAGTACAGGTATGGTCATGATAAAATGACACCACTGAAGAATTCATATCATAAAAAGGTCAATTTCTCTAAAAAAAAAATGTAGATGTAATGCAATTCCAATCAGAATCCAAACGGGATTTTTTTTTTAGAACTAGATAAGATGACTTTTAAGTTTATACAGAAATATAATTGTTTAAAAATTGCCAAGAAAAAAACTAGTGGGGGCAACTTGCTTTGCCAGATGGTAAAATTTTCAATACAGTGCCTCTAACCACCACCGCCATCGCCATCATCCTCATTGTCATCCTCATCAGTAGGCCAGCAGGCTATGGATACAGAATGAAAAAACAGAAGCAGTATGGCGTCTGGTATGAGATCCAGGTATTTAAGAGAAATTAACATGTGACAAAGGCAGTACTTCAGTGTAGTTGAAAAGAAAGTGCTTTATTTCATAAGGATTCTGGGAAAACTGGATACCCATCAGGAAAATGGAACCATATCTCATCACTCCATATACAAGAATAAATTTCAGATATATTAAAAATGTTAATATAAATACTAGAAAAAAACTGGGAGAACCTTTATATGAACTTGGGAGGGGAGAGAGCATCCTAAAAACAACACAGGAGATCCAGAAGAAAAGAGACAAGATAGGTAAGTTTGGCTACAGAAAAAGAAAATAACGTTGGGAAGATGACAAAAGTTCTGGAGACAGGTGGTGGGCGTGGTTGCACAACAACGTGAATGTACTTAATGGCACCAAACTGTACACTCAAAAATGGTTAAAACGGTAGATTTTGTGTTATGTATATTTTATCATAATAAAAAATAAGTAAAATAATGTTGGTTGCTAAAAACAAAACAAAACTACAAACAATGTCAAAAGACAACTGGCTGGGAAATATTTGTTAAAGTTATGACAAATAAACGGTGATGTTCCTAAAATTACAAAGAAGTTTTATGTGTTATAAAGAATAAGACAACCTAGTGGGAAAATGAGCAAGAGATATAAATAGGTAAGACACAGAAGAGGAAAAAGAAATGAGCAAGAGACATATGAAAAGATACTCAATCTCAATGAGATACCATAAGACATATGTTAGAATGGCTAAAACCCAAAAAAAGCTGACTGCACCAAATGCTTGTGACGACACTGAGGAACAGGAACCCTCAGTCACTGCTGGTGGGAATGCAGAATGGGACCGCCACGTAGGAAGACAGTCTGGCAATTTCTTACAAAGCTCCAGGTAGTTGTTCCATATGATCTAGCAATCACACTCCTACGTGTTTACCCAAATGATTTGAAAACTATGTCTATACAAAAACCTGTACACAAATGTTTCTAACAGCTTTATCTATAATAACCCAAAACTGGAAGCAACCAAGTTGTCTTCCTATAAGTAAATGGATAAACAAATTGTGCTAAACCCAAAGAATGGAATCTCATTCAGTAATAAAAAGAAACAAGCTATTAGGCTATGAAAAGACATCTATGAAACTTAAATGCATATTGTCAAGTGAATAGTACAAATGTATGAAACAACCTCACTGAAGGGGGTGGAGGGAGAAGGTGCCGACCTACGTAACCTTGGAAACGTGTAGTCTGTAGGACTAAAGGAATGACACATGAGCACGGTACTCTTGTTGATAAGGTTGTTTCCCATGGGGGATGCAGGGTAACAATTCTGCTTCTGCTATATATGTATACTGGAAGTGAACACTTAAGTAAATGAATGCTGGGTAATGGGAGCCAGGTTCTCCCCATTAGAGCGGGAGTTTACAGACAAGCAGGAGAGGAGACAAGGATAATCCATGATCTCATCTATCCATGGATTAGAGTTGGAGACATCAGCATGAACTCATGCTCAGCTTAATATAGATACAGATGGTTACATATAAAAATAACTACGGATCTGTGTGTATACACGCATTTTTGCCTTACTCTGTCAGCTGAGAGGGCCTAGAAGCAGCCACACCCCAGTAGCAACAAGTAAACCCAGTGCCCAGATCTTGTTTTTGAATACCATTCTCCAGGGAAGGGAACTAGGGCTCCTTGGAGAAAATGGATGATTCTAGGGAGGGCAGGAAAAATATAAGATGAGGATGGAGCATCTCGTAGTGCCAGAAAGTAAGGAAGTGCTAAAGCAAAAACAAACACTACACTGAAGGGGGTATGTCAAAGGGACACAAATATCCATGGGTCCATACTGACATGAATGAATGAATGAATGAATGAATAGGGGAGAATAAATCAATCTCCTTTGTGGAAGAATTCCAAATAATCTATGTAGATACTCCGCCTTCAAGGAGGAGACCCTAACTCCCCACTCTGTAGGAGGGCTGCGCAGAGGGACGTCCTTCCAAGGAGCATAGCGTGGAGAGACAGAAGAGGAGCAGCTGTACGGTGAGAAACCTGACGAACATTGTCTCACCAGGGGACTCAGGTCAACACTGATACTGATCGTCTGCACGCTCGGCATGGTGTGACACGGTTATCTTCCTCGCCAAATCCACGAGCCCAGTCTAACCACGAGAAAAACACCAGACAAATTCCAATAGAGGCGCATTCTACAAAACACCTGACCAGTCTTCCTCAGAGATGTCACGGCCATCAGAACACAGATGGTCTGAAACTGTCTCGGCCAAGGGAGGCCTAGGGATGCAGGACAACTAAATGCAATGTGGTCTCCTAGATGGGATCCTGGAAGAGAAAAAGGACATGAGGTAATAACTAAAGAAATTTGAATGAAGTATGGACTTTAGTTAATGATAATGTATCACTACTGGTTCTTTAATTATAACAAATGTACCACGCTAAGTAAGATGTTAATAATAGGGGAAACTGGATGCAGGGTATATGGGAACTCTCTAAATGATCTTCTCAATTTTTCTGTAAATCTATGACTGTTCTACAAAATGAACTCTGTTGGAACACGCACACTCTTTTACCCAGCACGCCACTTCTGGGAATACACCTCGTATAAACAGAAGCACCATTGCTTAAAAATGTATGTACAAGGATATTTATTGCAGCATTGTTTGTGGAGGCAAAACATTGGAAACAATACAAATGTCCTTTGATAGAAGAGGATGGCTAGTAAACTGTGGTCCATTTAAACATGAAATATGAAATACTATGCAGCTAGTAAAAAGAATGAAATTAATAGAGGTCTGTCTATTGACCCAATGACAGTGATGTATTGTTGAGTGAAGAGGTGAGCTGAGTAATTTTGTAAAAGTATATGGAAATAGAAGCTATGGAGTAATTTTATTAAAAATAGATGAAAATAGTATATTAAAATGTATTAAAAATTACTCTATTTTCACATATTCATTTGTTACATATTATTATTTAAAACATACTGAGCCCTACTCTGTGCTGGACGTTAGTCTGAGCTTTGGGATTACAATATTTAACAAAGCTGACAAAAATCTCTGCTCTCAGGAAGCTCATACTGGACCATGTTGGATGGTGATAAGTTTTATGGAAAGAAAGAAAGTAGGTAGGGGGCATAGCGTGGTGGGGGGTGTGACTTAAAACAGGGTGGTCAGGGGAGACCTCACTGAAAGGTGACAAATGAAGGGAGACCTGAGGAAGGGTCGTGAGGATTCCAGAAAAGTGTTCCAGGCGGACGGCACTGCCGTTCCAAAGGCTCTTACGTGCGCTCCTGCCTGGGAAGTTTGTGGAACAGCAAGGAGGTCAGCGTTTCAGTGCCTCTGTGTCCTGCTTCCCAGCCTTTCTGCCAATGTTTTAATTTAACAGTCACTGCAGCAACCAGCTTTGAGTGGATGAAGCCCACAGCCCCCACCTCAGCTGCATCCGTACCCTTTGCTTTCTGCCCAAGGAGGGATGTATGGGATGCTGGTGGGATGATTCTAACACTCCGGAGTTAACACCCCATGGGGGGACCATTGGCCAACGGGGACAGGCAGTGGTGGTGAATGCTCCCCTCTTCTGGTCCCTGGCTCCTCAGGGAACTGTTGCCCCTGCACTGGCTGGTCCTCCTTCCCCATCTCCCTCTCTCCTGTCCTCTGCTCCAGCTCCCTGGTATCACTTCCCCAAATCAGCAACTAACACACAGCCCCTTGTCTCAGACTTCACTTTGGGGGACGTGTACAAGCCAAGACGGGTAGTACCAGAAGCGGCCTTGCTGGCCTATCTTCGGAATGGGATCCTGGAACTGGATCAGTCCCCAGGCAGACCGCAACAGGCCCCCAGTGCTGGTGGGACGTGGGCCGAGACGAAGCTCTGGGAACCGCAGCAACACAGTTACTAAGACTTTCCTCCGCGGTGGCTCTGAGTGAGGCACAGGTCGGCTCATGCGGCAGCTGCGGTGCACGAGTAGGGTGGAGCAATGGTAATTACGGGGATTACTGAAGGAGCTGGCTTGTTAACACCTCTAGGTCATTGAAAAAAGAGAAGAGAAAATGACAGGTTCAGGTTAGCCACGAGTCGACCGGGAGTCAGAAGGCTCTGCGGCAGTCCTGAAAGAGGTTTCTCTCTCCGCAGACACCAGACAGACTGTGCAGAATCAGCCTCGGGACTTAGTTTTAAGGGCATCAGAGGGACAAGAGACACCAGGCCCAACCGCAACAGGTCTCACGCCAAAGTCAGGGCTCTGGTGAGAAAAGAGAGGGACATTAGGGGGAAGAGCCTGAGAATCTCAAATCCTCAAATTTCCTAGAACCCCCCGGGCTGGAAGAAGCAGCTTCCACCCTTTTGCCAAAGGTGAAACGCTTCCCCTCTCTCGGAGTCCCTGAAAAGACCTCATGAGGCAGGTGCTCCTTGGGAGGATGACGCATGTCCTCTGGATTCTACCCACCTCCTCCCGCGACCCACAGCCCTGTAACCAGCATGGGCTGCAGCAGTGCCTGAGCATGGCAATACGGTTCTTGCTCCAGGAGGAAACAACTACACGCAAAGAATCCCAACAGCTGGCTCAGACGCACCAGCAGGAATCTCGAGGGGCTGGACCACGGCAGTGGTGATGTGCAAGGCTGGACGCAGGAAAGTCACTGATGTGGGAGCACTGTCCCATGACTTGGGACTTAATTCCTGACAAGGACACCTGCAGGCAGACTTTAATATGTTGTTGGCTTGGCTTTTTGAAGGCTGGGCTTCCAGTAGATAAGGTGGAGATGCTGGTACTGCCCTGGCAGAGTACTGAGGAAGAGGCCTGGGAGCTCAAAGAGGTGGAAACATTAGAATGGACCTATGACGTGGGACGGCAGAACCCACTACCTGATTATGTTTCCTTGGAGGCCCGGAGAACACACTCTCCTCTAAGCAGAAAGGAAGGCACAGGGAAGGAGTCACTGACATCTTGAGAACCTCATGGTGGCAGTCCTCTGCAGGCTGGGTGGACAGGATTGCCCTCTGTGGGCTGGAGAGGTCACCATAGAACTAGGCTCTCTGGTTCCAACAGCAGCAACAAGCTTCCAGGGGGCTGAGACCAGCTGCTGACAGTGGCAGGGTGTTCATAATTACCATCGTGGGAAGCAAGGCCAGACGCCTTAGTTCCCACAAATCCATGCTGACGCACAGATGGGAACTCGCTGTAGAGGCCTCATGGGTGAACTAGAAGGGCAGGTGTGCTGCTTGACTTGTGTTCCCAGAAGGAATGCGAGATGGCAGGCAGGCGATGTCAACTGTGAGAATGGAAACCACGGTTCCTCACCCAGTTTCTAGATCTGTCAGTTTGTAGACCAAGTGCTGTTGATAGAGTCACCTTGCCAAAGAATCCTGGAATGCCACCACAAGCACTCCTTGATCCTTTCCCAAAGGGATCTGGGGCCATTTACCAGAGTAACTGGGGAAAGGGAAATAGACTTTTCAAGGGCTGTGGCTACAAGGCCTGAGCTAGCACTGCTATCTGGGGACCCACAATGTTATCATTGCCTTGTAATGCCTTGTAGTGGGCCCCATGGGTCCAGGGGTTCACTCCCAAGTACATAGTTAGACTGTATACACTTAGCAACCGGCCATCCCTCACATTGGTTCTGTGACCTGTGGAGTAAGAGCCAATATGGCAGAAAGGGCCAATGGAAGCCCTGAAATTGCGCAACCCCCAAAACACCCTGGCCAAAACAGTAAATCAGAAGCAGAACCACATCCCAGGAGTAACTTCAGAGATTAGCACCACCATCAAAGATTTAGAGGATGCAGAGTGGCATCCCCATCATACCCCACTCTGTTCACCTGGTAGCCCACTATATACTCAACCGAATCGTAGTTCCAATTGCAGCTGCTGGGCCGGAAGTCGCATCTTTCCTGGAACAGATCTAGTCTCTGGCACTTGATATGCAACTACTGATCGATGGATGAGTTCGCTCCAATCCCCATCAGTAGGAGGATCAGAGCAGTTCGCTTTCTGTGGAACGTACAGCAGTTCACATTCACTGTCCCGCCCAAGGCCCACGTTAACTCTCCTGCTCTTACAATATAGTCCACAGGGACCTTGATTGTCTTGACATTCCACAGAACATCTTGCTGATCCACTGTACTCATGACAGCAGGCTAACTGGGCCTCCTGGTGAAGGGGAAATGGCAAGTCCTGTGGACACCCAATTAAGACACATGTGTGCCAAAGGATGGGAGAAAACCCTCTGGGGCATGGTCTGGGGGATGTCTAGGGTCCAGTGACCTGGGGTATGCTGAGACACCCCCTTTAGAGCAAGGACAAATTGTCGCACCTTATGTCCCCCATCACTGAAAAAGAGGCATTGTGCTTGGTGGGTCTCTTTCGGTTTTGGAGGCCGTGCATAGAGCCCCTGGGAACACTGCTTTGTCTGATTCACCGGGTGATCTGCCGGTCCTGAGTAGGACCCAAAGCAAGAGAGAACTTAATGGTAGGTCCAGGCCATCCTACACTCAGGCCATCCAACACGGTATGTACAATCATGCTAGCGCTGTCCAGCTCCTGGTGTGTCACTAAGCCCTAGCAGAGTCTGGGCATCGGACTATGGGACATCATGTGACTCTGTGACCCAGAGCTGCCCACTGTGAACTGGGCAACAGAGATCCACTGTCATAAGACTGCACGATGCAGCAGCAACCCACCACTACGAAAACTATACATTTGGGATCAAGTAGATCCACAGGGAACAAGCAAGTTACAAAGGAAGTGGCCTGTTCACCCATGTCATCTGTTTTGCTGCACTGTCGCCTCTGCTTCAACTTGCAGATATGGTTGAACCAGAGTTTCCAAGCAATGGAGGAGAAAAACCTCAAGTCCAGCGCCCAGATGGACCAGCTCATTACGTTGGCACTAGTTGAGAATGGACTGCCATCACGCTAACCCCACTCAGCAGAGGGCTTGAAGGACAATGGTGAAGGCGAATCCTACTGAGCAGAGCTTCAAGCTGAGCACTTGATGGTTTACTTTGTGTGGAGGAAGAAAGGACCTGAGATGTGCATGGACCTGTGGGCAGTGGCAACTAGCTTGTCTAGTTGATTGAGTCTGGAAGGAGCCAGATTGAAAGATTACTTGGAGAAGAGGCATAAATTGTACTTGCGGGAGTGAGCACAGAGCTGGAGGACCTTTGGGCCTCGTATTAATGCCCACCAGAGAGCATCTGCCGCAGGGGAAGCACTGAGCAACCAGGCAGAGGATGTCTTCTCTGGTGGGTGTCAGCCTGCTCTGTCCTTGGCCACCCCAGTGCTTGTGCAACCTACCCATGAGCAGAGTGGCAGGGAGGGTGGCTATGCATGGCCCAGTAGCACTGGCTCCCTCTCTCCAAGGCTGATCTGGCTCCTGCTGCCACTGAGGACCCAACCTGCCAGTAGCAAAAACTGATGCTGAGGCCCTGATCTGCACTGGCCTTTAAGGAGCCCAGCATTTGTCCTTACTGGAACTGATACTACTTCTAGATATGGGCTTTGCCTTTCCTGCCTGCATCACAATCCCAGGGTTAGAGAATGCTTGCTTCACTGGCATGAGAGTCCACACAACAGCAGACCAAGGGGCCCATTTTGCAGCAAAGGAGGCATGACAATCAGCATATGGCCAAGGATCCATGCGTTCTGCTATATGCCTCATCACCTGCAACCAGCCAGCCCAGCAGAATGATGGAATGTGCACCCCAGCCCTTCGGGAGCAAATGTACTGAACCAGCAGGCACCACGTGGTGCTCTGCTCCAGGAGCTAATCCGAGGGACCGGGGACCAGAGAGGAATCAGGACTACACTCCCTCATCACAGCTCCCAATGACCCACTTGTGGAAGTCATGCTTCCTTGCCCCGATATTCTCTCGAATGTGCAGAGCTTTATGTGTACGTGATTGGCCACTGGAAAAACCGAAATGCCCATTAATAAGTCCTCAGTTAAATAAACAATAGGACTTGATAGCATATTCAAATGATGAAATAGTATGCAGCTGGTAAAAAAAATAAGGCACATCTATGCGTGTTGACTTGAAAAGATGTCCAAGACATATTAAGTACAAAAAGGTAATTACGGAATAGTATATACAATATGATAGCATTTGCATCTGTTTTTAAAACAGAAATATATGTCCTGTACAAGCACAGAAGTCCTCTGGAGTGAAGCATGCGAGCCTGTGGCGGTTTGGGGGGATGAGGATGGAGAGTGGCGAGGAAGGGAGGTTTCCTTTCACTTTACGTCCTCCTGGACCTTCAGGCTTTTTTTTTTTCTTACATAAGCACATGTGACTTTATCATGCAAATGGTTTAAAAATGAGTTGCATAAGCTCTTCACTATGTTATAAAACCGAGATAAATATTTTGAAGTTAGTTCCAGACAGCTAGTTAATACATCAGTTTTTTGGGGGGGGGGGGCTGTTTTCATTATTAAAAAGGCTATTTGGATTATCACCACCATCTCCAGCTGAGAGGAAAATACCCTGCACCTTCTTGGTGCTGCTGAGGGATCACCTGTCAGCGCTCTCCTTTGGTAAAGGAAATGATCCCACATTTCTGCCAAATGCCAGGAACCCATGGCAGACACTCTGCTAGTGTTTTGTTTTGGGGGTGGCTAGCCAAGGCGGGGCGTGACGCACGGAAGGGAGGAGCTCTGAGAGAGCTGCCATCACAGGTGCAGAGGTTGGGGCCTGAGGGTTGTTTATGTGGGGTTTTCCGTAGACAACACGGATGCAGCAGAATGTGCCAGGCTGGTCCTCTGGCCAGAGACTGGGCTGAGGTCTCCTCTGGACTCCTCTCAAGACCCAGCACAGGCTAAGGATGCGCACAGCGGATGCTCAATCTGCTTTATCGACTAATAAAGTACTTGAAAAGTACTAGGAAAGAAGTAATAGTACAAATGTGATCAAAAGGAAAATTAACACTGACACAGCCAAAAATTAACCTAACAATGAACTGACAGCGACAAATCAAACTGTTTTTAAGGTGTGGTTGAAGCATCAGTTGGTTTAGAAACTCTTATCTTTCATATTCTAACAAAAAGAGAGATGGAGTTCAAAGATTTCCAACCAGGCAATTTTATCCAACAGCATTTTTACAACAGTGCTTTTAAAGTTAATAAGTAATAAAGAAGGCTAATAATTAGCAAGAAAATATGTCTGTTGAAAGCAAATTTGTGGCCTAAAACATCAGTCCTGCCAAATAAAAAGATAAACTAAAACATTAAAAACATTTAAAGTGAAAGACAGCAGGCCAGCCCCGTGGCCGAGTGGTTAAGTTCAAGCGCTCCGCCTTGGCGGCCCAGGGTTTCGCTGGTTCAGATCCTGGGCGCAGACATGGCACCGCTCGTCAGGCCATGCTGTGGCGGCATCCCACATGCCACAACTAGAAGGACCCACAACTAAAACATGCAACTATGTACTGGGGGGATTTGGGGAGAAAAAGCAGAAAAAAAATTTTCCATTCCACATACAAAGTACCACCTTCCAGTGTGGACTGACTGTTTCATAATAACTATATAATACAGGTTGTCTACCTATAAATTTTACTTGCTGGAAATAAAAATAATTTAAGTGGCCAAAAAAGCAAAGGCATAATTACGTTTTTCACCAGTGTTCACTATAAAATCACGTACTCGGCCTCCTCCTGCTCTGTGGTATTTGATTTGCTGGAGCCTGGGCGTGTGGCAGGATGAGAGCAGGAGTGTTCAGGACGCTGACAGGTGGCAGTGTGTGCTTACTCCCCTTACAGACTCGGTGTCTTTAAGAAGGTCACGAGCTAGCCGGGCGATTGCTCCTGCTTTTGTTCTTGCAATATTTGTGTGGCAGCTTTATTACTTAGGAGTTCACGACACAGCAGGAATATACTCTTTCTAGATAAACATGTCGTGAGCTAGGTCAAAAAATCTCCTAATACACAAACAAAACAGTCTGTTACTATTTGCAGTTACTACATTATCTTGTAAAATACAACTAAACAGGTCTCCACTTGTAGAACAAATAGGCAGAGATCATGGGGGCATTTGTTTGGTTTCTGTCACTGTGGGCATCGCAAGGGAATGCCCTGCTTTGTGGTCCATGCTGATGACAACCAGGTTCCCTAACTCCCAGCGTCTGTCCCTACACCAGTGATGCACGTTGCGGGGCCAGACCTGCCAGCCTCCAAAGAAAACTGCATACGACGAAAGCCATGTGGCCCGAAGGCCCAGCCCAGACCCAGCGCGCCCAACACTGTCCGCAGATGGGTTTGCGTGGCCTGGATGGTGCTCAGCCTTCCCTTAAATTGCCTGTGCACGTTTTAAAGTTAGATCTCGTTCTCACTAAAAGGAACCAGGGCTCCTAGGAGAAACGGCTCATTCCAGAGAGCGGGCAGGATGAGCCCGGGACATTCTGTCATGCCGCACAGTAAAGAAACACTCAGGGAAGGACCAGGATCCGTCAGGACAAGGAGCTGGATCCAAGGAGCCCCGGATGGCCAGATGCAGGCAATTAGAGAATCAAAAAGAATGACAGCGACGGTTTGTGACATGTTGAATTAAAAAAAAATCCACAAATTCACAGTGATACTAAAAAGCACGTGTATGGGGGGGATGGTGGTGAAGAAAAGTTCTTTTTTGTTTTTTTTTTTTTCAGAAAAATTATAAACAATGAATGTAGAAAGAATTGTTGAAAATCACAATTTTATAATAACTGTTATGATAACTTACTGAGGCAGGATCTTTGGGTGAAAGTTGTTGGGGAACAGGGAGTCACGCAATTGCAAAATATCACCCCTCAGATTACTTACTAATGATAAAGGGAAAATGTTTCTTTGCAATCGAGAAACATGGCAGACCCATCTTAACCAGGAGATTAGAACCAAGGGGACCAACTGTGGGGCAAACCGCCATCAGGTCCCTCCTGATGAGAAGCAGTGTGATGGACACGGCCTCACCCATGCAGCGTTCTCACTGAAGATGTCCAGCCTGCACCAAACGGTGTGGAAACAGCCAGACAATCTCTGTGGAGGCACATTCCGCGGGATGACTGGCCAGGACCCTCCTCAAATGCCAATGTCATGAACAACTAAAAGAAGAATTAAAACGTAGCACAGCTGTTTTAGAATAAAGGAGATTGAAGAGACGTGGCAACTAAATCCTATGTATGGCAACTGATTAGACCCTGGATTAAAAAATATAATTATACAGGGGCCAGCCCGGTGGTGCAGCGGTTAAGTTCGCACGTTGTGCTTCTCAGCAGCCCGGGGTTTGCTGGTTCGGATCCTGGGTGTGGACATGGAACCACCTGGCAAGCCATGCTGTGGTAGGCGTCCCACATATAAAGTAGAGGAAGCTGGGCACGGATGTTAGTTCAGGGCCAGGTTTCCTCAGCAAAAAGAGGAGGATTGGCAGTAGTTAGCTCAGGGCTAATCTTCCTCAAAAAATATATATATATATAATTATACACAGAGTTATACGACTATTATTGGGACCATATGAGAAATTTGAGCACAGCCTGAACATGAGATAACAATATTGAGTCAATGTTAAAGTTCTGGAGTGTGGAAATCCTACTGTGGCTGCAGGAGAATGTCTTTGTTCTAAGAGAGTCATGCTGCGTACTTGGGGAATGAGTCAGCCAAAAAAGTGTGTGAGTGCACATGCATGTGCATGTGTGTGACAGAAACAGAAAGGAAATAAAGCAGAATTCTAACTGACTAAACAATCTAGCTAAGAGTATGCAGGAATTCATTGTGTTATTCTGTCCACTTGTATATATTTTGAAAATTTTTTCAAAACAAAGCATTGCGGGGAAAAAGCCAGGAGATTTTACATAAAACTTTAATTTCTGGCTTTTTAAAAGAAGAAATGAAAATCTAAGACTCTGGGCTCGCAGTCTGTGGAGCTGAGCAGTGGTCGCCTACTTGACACACAACGTGGTCTGCAGGGCGCCCTAGTCCCCACCTCTCCATCTTGTCTCACACTCAGCCTGCTTCACTCACTTCTGGTATCAGTGTCATCCCCACAGACATTTGAGCTTGTAATCTCATATAAGCCACAACAGAGAATGCTGAATACGGCTAAAACAATTTACTAATTGGGCCGGCCCGGTGGCGCAGCAGTTAAGTTCACACGTTCTGCTTTGGCGGCCTGGGGTTCGCCAGTTTGGATCCTGGTGTGGACATGGCACTGCTCATCAAGCCATTCTGTGGCAGGTGTCTCACATATAAAGTAGAGCAAGATACGCACGGATGTTAGCTCAGGGCCAGTCTTCCTCAGCAAAAAGAGGAGAATTGGCGGTAGATGCTAGCTCAGGGCTAATCTTCCTCAAAAAAAACCCCAAAAAACCCCAATTTACTAATCCATTTCAACAAGCCAATTACACAATTTGAAGAGAAGGGACTTAGAAATGGCACCAATTAGCAACAGCAGGACTAAATTCTTTAAGCTGTCACAGGATTTCCCACTGAGACTTTTATTGAGTTGGGAAATATTATCCAACTAATATGGGAGAAACATTCGTTCAACTAATACTGGGGGAGCAGAAGCCTTTACAAATTGTGAAAGCTCCAGTTAGATCCTAAAGCTGACTAGCATTCAGTGGGATGGGACCCTGGCTAACCGTCGCCTGGAATTCAGCTCTTAGTAAATGCTTTGGTGGCAGGGAACCTTGACCTCCCACAGGCCATTCCGTCGCTGGAGCGGTAACCTGCCAGCAGACTTTCTGGTCTGATATCTAAGGCGGTGATCGTCTCTGGGGAGACATGGGCCTCCCTTCCTTACCAGCACTGCATTCAAAGCCCACCTTTCTGCCTTCGCACTGTGCATCTCTCTCTCCTCTGCTATTGCTCTTTTTGACCCTCTACTTTCCTGTCCTCGCAGCCTCAAGGCTGCTGGACCACCATCAGATGGCTGGCCCAGGAGCACTCTGCTCCCTCAGCACAGTTGGTGAAGCAACGGCAAACAGAGACGTAAATCACCGCGATGCTCTGGGCCAGCTTCCAGGAGGCTCCCGAGCTCGCCCGAGGTCACCAACGGCTCTGAGCAGATCAGACAATGTGCTCCTAACTTGGCTCTGTCCCCATGCAGTCACACAGCCCCAGTTACTTAAAGTAAGTAGTTACTTAAAGTAATAGACGGTTACTTAAAGTAAGGAGATCATAGAAATAAAGGAGATGCTCTGAACATTTGGGAGGTTATTAGTATTCATGACTACAGTCAAATGACAGCAGGTTTCCAGCACATAGTCCACACTCAGCATTCTTACCTTCCCAATACCCTGTGGGCTTTTTTTTTTCCTATTTGTTCCCCAAAGGAGTCTTTTTGCACATTTTTTTCCCAATCACCCCCCAGTGAAATTTTAATTCCACAAATCTACTGTATATCCATATGTACTATATGTATATCTGTGCTTTATACAATATAAAAGTTTGACACCCCGCCCCGGAACAATTTTCATCCCTTGGGGGTGGTCCCTTCCTCACTAAGGATGCATGCACTTTATTGTCATGTTTACAGTAAAGTTTTTAATGGACATTTTTCCCCCTTGCTCATTCGCACTGTCGTTGGTGGCAAACCATAACTTTTGCCTTCTAAAATGATCCGCAGGGTTCTGGAAGGAGAGTCAGGAAGAACTCCTATTCTAGTGAGAATGTGACCCACAGCCCAGGCCCCGCTGGAGGCAAGGCCGGGATAAATGCCGGGGACCAGCCACTGGGGAACTTCTGAGTGTGGGGTCTGGTGGAACGTGGTGGTTCTGCTCTGTGGGTTTGGGGACTGATGGAACACGGCTGCATTCCAGCTTCCTAACCAGGAGGCCACAGCAAATAATTAACCATGCCGAACCCACGTGTAAAACGGGAAACAATACCCACCTTCTAAAGTTGTTAGAAGCATAATCTGTGCATCCTAGGTAACGACGCCTGGCGCTTTGCCCAAGTCTGCTGGGCCACCAAATGGCAACATGTGATTCCTTCTCCTTGCCTGTCTCTCGGTTTTCTTATCTTCTAGAGGAAGGGTTGTCACAAACAATGTCCTAGCTGCTGCTTTTGGCCCATGACTGATCCATTCTAAGGCCCCCTGTACTGTCTGCCACACTGCCAAAGGTCTGCCAGGCACCTCATGATGGCAGCGTCCTGTCCTTCATCTCAACTCCTCCGGGAGCGTCTGCTCTTCCCACCACTGCTGGTTGGAATCCTTTGCTTCCTTCCTCTTCTAATAGTTCTACCATTTTTATTCCCAGAGGGAAGGCTCAGCAGCCTCGAGGCTGGGGACCTTAGTAATACAATTATTCTGGGATGGTTGGCTCGTGTTAGTTTTGAACCACACAGTCCTCTTCTTGCTGGACACACAGATCTTCCCCAGGGGGCTGGGCTGGTTTCAAGCACAGTCACCTGCTTTATGCAGAAACAGTGCCCACCTGAACCACAGGGCCTGCAATGACTTCAGCCTATCATGCCAGACTTCTTGATCTAAGGTGGCTTTCTTTCAGGGACCTTGCCCCTCTCCGTAATCTGGCTTCTGTCATGACCGCCGCACCTCCCATCCAAAATATCTTTATATGCTTGAACCCTGCTTATGGAAAGGGGTTGAATTCTCTCCTTTGGGCTCAGGTGTCTCGTGCAAATCAGCAGATGTCATACATCCTAGTGGAAGCAGTCCCTCATGCATAGCTTGGAGATGGCTGTGGGGGTCCTGTTACATAAGATTAAGGATCGTGTACGTGAAGAACCTAGCAACATTCCAAATAAAATAAGAGGGAGCCTAATCTCCTAGCTGGTCCACAAATAGGTCATTTATTATGCCGTTAGAGCTATTTCTGGTCATGCTCCAGGCTAGTAGCTCAAGGCCTTGGCTCCAGGAATTCCTTCCCTCCAATAACATCAAGTTTTCTCTCTACTGGATTGATACCAAGAATACAAACACTCTTCTTTCTCCCATATTAAAAACAACAGCTACAAAAACTCTTGACCCCACATCCTTCCAAGTGCCTCCTGCCCCATTTCTCGGCGTCCTTTTATAATAAAACTCCTCAAAAGAGTTGCCGATGTGACCGTCTCCACTTGGCCCTTCTCATCCTCATTTGAACAATCTCTGATGGAGCTTTCATTCCCACCGCTCCACCCAAACAGCTGTTGTCAAGATCTCAAATGACCCTCATATTTTCAGAGCCAATGGCTGATTCTAAATCTGTACTAATGGTGACCTTTGACACCAATAACTATTCCCTCCTTCTTGAAACATTTTCTTCCCCAAGCTTTCATGAACATTGCTCTTGGGGTTTTCCCACCCCGAGGATCAGCCCTTCCTGCCTCCTTGCTGGTTCCTCCTCGTCTTCCAGACCTCCCGACGCTGGAGCCCCAGGGCTCAGTCTTCCGTATTTGTCTCCCAGGGTGACCTCACCCAAGCTCACAGCCTTTGACACCACTGCTGTGCTGCTGTCTCCCAACTCTGCACCTCCAACCCAACTCTCCCCTCAGTGCCAGACTCGTAGTGCACTGAATCGCCACTTTACAGTCTCCTTGGGTTCGCATCTCAGACTTAACATATCCAACACAGAACTCCCGGTTTCCTTTCTCCCAAATTTGCACCTGGTCTCCCTGTCACAGTGAATGAGCTCTTCCTTCTTCCAGTTCCTCAAGTCGAGAACCTGGGAGTCATTCCTGATTCCTCAGCCAACCAGCATATTGCGACATGCTCTTCTCTCAGAAAAGTCTTGAATCTGGCCACCTCCACCGCCACCACTCACACCAAACCCATCTCCTTACACCTGGATTAGCCTGACAGTCTCTAACTCACATTCCTGTTCCTGGAGCTGGAGCCACCAGCAGCTAGAGGAATCCTTCTAGTCACGCCAGGGCGCCCTCTGCTCAAAGCCTTCTGACGGCCCCACCTCATTCATAGGCCCTCACTTCGACTCCTTATCTTTAACTTCATCTCCTAAGACTCTCGCTCTTGCTTACTCTGTGACGCACTCATCTGTCTGCTCCTCTTAGAACACAGGCCAGCACATGCCAGAACCCACCACTTGATCCTGCCTCGGGGCCTTTGTACTGACTGTTCTCTCTGCCTGGAATGCCTTTCCCCTGAAGCTGCATGAGTCACCCCTTCTCATTTCTTCTGGTCTCTCTTGTAATGTCATTCATCAGAAAGGCTTTTCCTCACCACCCTGTATAGGTAAGCAAGCCCCTCCAGCATCCTCCGCCCCTTATCCTGCTTTATTTTTCACCACTTGACATGTAATTATTTGTCTACTGGCAGTCTCTCCTTACTTGTGAGGACACGGGCAGAGAACAGTGCCGGGCACATGGCAAGAGTTCTGCCAAAACTTGCCGAATGAGCACGTGTCAGCTCTGACACACAGGTGTCTCAGCAACCACACTGACTGAAATACTGAATTCTTTCTTTTTTTGTTTTGCAATGGAAAGTGAGTTTAAGAAAGGGTAGGACAGTTTCTTTGAGCTCAGCTACTGCAGTATAATTTTACTACTGGCACCAGAACGGCACCTAATTTGTTCCTAACGTGGAGTATGAGCTGACTGATTTTAACTGGAGCAACTATTTATTTTTTTAAAAGCCTAATTACGTAACCTGGAAAAAATAAGATTCACAATTAAAACATTGAAGGGTTGACTGCAGTAGGACCTTTGGGTAAGGAGTGAATTATATTTAGTTTATTAGTACAAATAGTGAATTTATGTCATAAAAAAGTATCACACTTTTTCCAAATGGCATGAAATACTACTGTTTGAAAAGTGTTTCAAATTTTCAGAAAAAATGTTTTCTGAAAATATTAGCAAAATAGGTTTCTTGATAATAATTATCATACAAACATTTACCAACGGACGGTTACATCTTCATACACGCTTTCACATCAAGAACGGGAGCTCCACAGGTGTGCTGCCCTGGACGTTACACAGCTGGCGGCTGGACAACTCACCCCCGATCCTATCCGCCTGAGAGGAAACAACTGGGATTTTTAAAGGAGTCCATTAGCAACCACTGGGAGTTGCTTTAAATTGTTAAATAAACAGTTTAAAAAGCATATACACACGGAATTCTCTGAGGATGGATACAGGCCAAATTCTATTATAACATAAAATTCAGGGGACCACTCTGTTCTTCTGTGGTACTAGTATTTCGTGGTATCAGACACAGATCCTGTAAGCGGAACATCACCGGATCTGGGGAACCTTTTTGTTCCCAGACATAGTACTAATATTCACGCACAAAACAAATGATGTCACCATTTTCATCAATGGATAGTGAAATGAGAAAAATAAGGGCAATGATACACACACACACCAGAGAAACGTATATATATGGATATTATTTATAGTTGTCAACTACTCTCAGGAAGACTGTGCTTTTCTCTAAAATTGTGTCTTTCCTAGTTTTTAAAAAATATTAAAATGTCCTTTCTTTTACGAAGTGATGGTGATAGTAGTCGGTAGTTGGTTTTTTAAAATGCTGGTAGCCCTACCCCAATCTGTAAAAAAAAAGAATTTTTTTTGGAAATTTTACTGGTTCATGAAACCCAAAAGTCTGCAAACGACAACTTTCTAATATGAAAACCATCTTGGCTGGCTTTCTTCTTTCCGGGAGAAAGTGGAACCCCTTAGCCGGGCATTCAGGCCATCTACCCTGGTCTTCATCTGCCTTTCCTGCTTTCCCTATTGTAGCAGGAGGGGTCCGGGGTCAGACCCAGCCTGTCGCACTGCTGGGGCCAAGGGCACTGAGGTACCTTCAGCCTCAGTCCTCCTAGTTCCTGGTGGCTGACCTTTGCAGGGGTCATTAAACCCCAGCTGTGTGAGGAGTGTGCAAGGAAAAAACACCCAACTAGGAACTCAGACTCACGGAGCCCTGAGCTACCACCCCCCGGGGCTCGCACGGACCTGGAGTTGCGTCCCTCTTCCCATGGCACTGGAGCGCTGGCTTGGATTCCGGCTCCGATGGGGCCTAAAGCACTTGCCTGGACCTCACCGGTTTCCTTGTCTCAACATGTCCCCGGGAGTCAGGCTCCAAACCCTGGGCCAGCTGGGGCCAAGGTGCAGCTATGCGCTAACCATCACTTATTGCAAGGCCAGACCTATCTTCCAGGAAACTCCTCGCACCCCCTCCTACTGGACCCAGGCTTCCCTTCCTTCCCTCTCTCCCTGGCCTGCCGGAGCCCAGCAGGGATCTTGACCAAGACTTTGGGGTTATCTCCCGAGTCCTCTCAATATGCTGCTTCCCATTTGTGCGCCTTTTCCCAGAAGGGACCATCTGCCCTGACTGCCTTCTCTCGCGTTCCATGCCTCCCGAAACTTTGCAAAGTTGAGTCCAAATGTGCCTCCAAACGCTTTATTTAGCGGGTTCTTGCCTGGCATGGGGACAAGGTGAACAACCCAGGCCCTGCCCATTAGGCACCCAGTCTGTTGGGAGTGAGGGCCGAGGGGAAATTCACCTGACTTCCCTTCCAGAAGTTAAGGCGTCTGAAAGACAGAGTGTATAACTTCGTATAAACATTGTTTTAGGCACAATGGGGCTCCACAAATATTTACTGAAGAAACAAATGCCGAAAATATGACTTCATTTAACAAACCCTCAATTCATTAATTCAGCAAATATTTAACTACTCATTTTGTGTGAGGAATATTACAGAATTCTGGAAAGTTAGGGCTTAAAGAGACAGAAGGTACCGAGAGTCTAGGGCCAACACCTCCTAGAGATGGGGGGTCTGCCTGTGTGCACTCATCTCTGGGGACTGGGGTGCTGTGTGCTCTGGAGTCAGGCTCCTGTGACCACAACTCGACCCTTTACAGCACATCCACATTCACTTGTTCCAGAGAACACATCTGACTTCCCTGTTGATTGGCAACACCTACCCTTCCTAAGAGCTTATCTTGTTCATGTTCTTTTTAATCCAACAATAACATTTACTGGAGCCTGCTACATGCCAAGCAGTTGACCCAGAGATACAGGGGCGAGGTGCCCATCCCGGAGGAACTCAGTTAATTCAGGGAGCTGCACCTGGAAACACCGCATCGCTGAAGGCTGGGGGAGGCAGAGAGAGGTGTCCACAGGCCACCTTCAGAATCGGGGCCAGACTGCCTCTCTGCTAGGAACAGACTGTCTTTTCTTTGGAATAAATGAACCCCTGAAGTACAGTTACCGCCTTCTCCTCTCGGGAAAGCCAGAGAAAGGGAAAATGCCCATCAGCCCAGGAGCAACCCTGAGAACTGACCCTGTGAGGACTGGGGAGGGCAGAGGGGCCAGGTCACGGGGTGGGCCAAGACTGCTGGTCTCGCCCTTTGGGGGGCAAGGGCTTGGAAGCGTCTTCTCACAACAGGTGAGAGCTTGCTGGTATAAAGAACAGGGAAAGGGGTCCTGTGATCTGCCCATTTAATTTACCCAAAGCCTGCTGCTTCCCACTCAGGGTCCTCATCCAGAGATAACCCCACACACGCAATTCCTGGGGAAAAGAAGACTCCTCGAGAGGCTGGGAGGTGGGAGAAGCAAGAGGGAGAGAGACCCCATGAGCCCCACCCCTCCCAGTGGGGTGGTCTTCCCGGACACTTGGTCACACGGTTAGCTGCACATGGAGGCCCTCACCATCTGAAACCAAGGTCACCCCCACTGCGTTCATGGCATGGCACACTCTGCCTTGCGATTGGGGTTTCATCTTCACAGAAATTCAGAAAAGAAGCCTCTTCCCATTACAGGAAAAAATGCTTTCAGCTTGTAACAAACAACTGTCCCCACCCCATATCAAGGTCTCCTAGGGTTGACTAATGAACGGTTTTGAAGTGATCGTTTCACTCCTTTAAGAAGAATCCTTCTTCTAGAGACAGGACACTATGATGCTCAGCAGTAGATAAATGTGAGGTGTAGTGAAAACCTGTCAGCTTCCTCGCAGTTTGAAAACAGGCACACGACTAATTCTCTTAAGGGACGGAGAATATCAGCTGAAGATGACCTAGAGTTTAAATGTCATGAATGCTAGCAGACTCCAGCTGCAGAAGTTCCCTACTATCAAAGTCCATGGCTCCCGAAGAACCAGATCTACAGGTCACACGGGGAAGCAGCTATGGGGAAGAGAAATGAAATATCCCACAGCATCTCTGAAAGTGAACACACCTTCCTTCCGGCACTGACGTCTCTAGTTCATTACATAACTGGCGACTTGTGCACAGTTGTCCCATTTGTGTCACTGAGGACGAAATCCGTGCAGGAAGGAGATGTAACCACAGGTCAAGGCACTTATTTAATATAGCACGACTCACTGTGATTTTCTAGTCCCTGAAAATTCACTGTAAAGAATCCATTACCTTGAGCATGCGGATTTCTCGAAGGGCGATTTTCTTTATGACAGGGTCATCTTCTGATTCCAGAAACCTCTTGATGGCCACAATCTGACCCGTGTCCCTGTTTCTGCATTTGAAAACCACTCCATAGGATCCTTCGCCAATTTTCCCAATTTTTTCATACTTCTCCATCACAGAGGAATAAATCTTCTTAAAATGGATCCTCACATAGTTTGAAAATGTCGCCTATAAAATATTGGCGTGAACGGAGCCTAGAGGAGACCGGGGACACCTGTTGCAGGCTCAGGGCTCCCCCGCGTCCTCCAGGCCTCGGCTCGAGACCCAGGACGCCAGCCCCGGGCGGCGCCCTCCTCGCCCAGTTCAATCGCGTTCCAGACCAGCGAGTTAAAATGTAACCGCGTCCTGCAGCGCACGGAGGTGTAAGGCGATCCGTCTTCCAACGTCGTAGTTCACCCGATCCGCTGCAGGACTGCCAAGGCCCAGGGCTTCCCCGGTTCCCATTTTGGGTCTCATTTCCCTCCGGCAGGAGGACGCCCGGGCTCCCAGGGGCGGGGGAGGGGAGAAGGGGGGGGGGGGGAGAGGAGTGGGGAGGGAGGGGGGCAGAGGGGAAAGGAGGGGAGGGGAAGGGGGGACTAGGAGAGGGGAGAATGAGTGTGGACGGGAGGGAGGAAGAGAAGGGGAGCGGAGGGGGAGGAGGACGAGGAGGGGGGAGAATGAGTGGGGAGGGGAGGGAAGGGGGAGCGGGGCCCGCGGGGCGCAGGTGCACCTGCCGCTCGGGGCTCTGGGCCGGGACCTCTCTGCCGCCGCCCCCGCCTCCGCCGGCCCCGCAGCCCCGCCCCGGCCTCCAGGCCGGCCGCCCGCCCACCCGGGAAGCCCCTCGGCTGGCGTCCGCGGGAGGGGGCGTCGGAGCAGCTGCGGCGGGGCCGCGGGGAGGACCGCGCTCGCCCCGCCCCCAGGAGGTCTGCGCCGGCCGCCGGATACGCCCCGCGTTCTCGGCTACACAGGGCAGCTTCTGTGTCTGTCCTGGTCAGCGCGGTAGCCTCCAGTCAACGAAGGAGTGAATGAGGAATGAATGAATGAGAGAAGGGAGCTGGGCAAAGACGAAGAGGAAGGCATCAAGACTGAGATGGGTTAAAGTCACACGTTCCGCCTCTAGCTCTGGGCTGGGGGGGCCTTCCCGCCCTGTTGTAGGTTCCTTATTCCCACCCTTCTCCCAAGACTCCTGCTCTCTCAGGCCTGAGCACAGTGGGGAGGTTAAAGGACCTGGGGAAATCGTGAAATGAGGGCATTTGCCACTGGGCAGACTCCCGCAACTTTATCATTCATCCCATTCCGTCTGCCCAGCACTGAGGCCGGTGTTTGCCCTGAGAGCAATACCTGAGGAGAGAAGTGAACATTCTCTCTGTGAAACAGGGACCAATCCAGTGCCAAGCAGCATGGCCCTGAGTGTAAATCTGGATAGGGCCTAGGAAGGAGCTGGAGCTGGGAGGAGCGGGATTGGTGCCCCTTGAAAATACAGTAGCACATAGATGGCGTCCAGGGGTGGGCCAGAGGTGACCTGTGAACCTCCCAGAAATTGTTTGCAAATGGCAACCACTCATGTGTTTTCTGTCTCTGTAGTTTTGCCTTTTCCAGAATGTCATATAGGTGGAATTATACATTATGTGGCCTTTTGAGGCTAAGCTTCTTTCACTTAACGTAATGCATTTGAGATTCATCTGCGTTGTTGGCATTTATCAGTAGTTCATTCCTTTTTATTACTGAGTAATATTCCACTGTATGAATAAACCATAGTTTGTTCATTCATTCCCAGTTGAAGAACATTTGAGTTGTTTCTGGTTTTGCTGATTATAAACCAAGCCACTGTAAACATGCATGCATGGTCTTTCTGGTGAACATATGTTTTCATCTCTCTTAGGAAAGTAATACTTACAGGGATACTGCTGGGTCGTATGGCCAGGACGTGTTATTGTAAGTAACTGCCAATATATTCTCCAATGTTTACCATTTTACATTCCTACCAGCAATGTTCCAGTTACTCTGCACCTTTTCCAGCACTTTGCATTCAGTTCTTTTGATTTTAGCCATTTTGATAGATGGATAATTGCCTCTTGTGGTTATATTTTTTTTATTTTTATTTTTTCTTAAAGATTGGCCCTGAGCTAACGTCTACTGCCAGTCTTCTTTTTTTTTTTCTTTTTCTTCTCCTCCCCAAAGCCCCCTGGTACATAGCTGTATATTCTAGTTGTAGATCCTTCTAGTTCTGCTATGTGGGACGCCGCCTCAGCCTGGCCTGACAAGCAGCCTAGGTCTGATGCGCCCAGGACTGGAACCAGCAAAACCCTGGGCCGCCCAAGTGGAGCACATGGACTTAACCATTCGGCCATGGGCGGGCCCTCTTGTGGTTTTAATTTGCATTTCCCAGATGACTAATGTTGAACAGTTTTTCATATGCTCATTTGCCACCCGGATGTTTTCTCACTTATAAGATCTAGATGGTTTTTGTAAATTCCTTGGGGTTTTCTATGTACACAATCATGCCATCTGCAAACAGGGACAGTTTTAGTTCTTCCTAACTGGTGTGTCTTTGTGCTTTTTCTCATACTGCAGTGTGCTATCAGACAGGAGTGGTGAGAGCAGACGTCTTTATCACTGGTCTGAGAAAGGAAGCATTCAGGCTTGCACCACTAGGTAGGACGCTGGCTAGATCGCTGTAGATGCTGTGGTGGGCAGCCTCTAGGACGGTCCTTACGATCCCTGCCTCCTGGGATTCACGCCCTTAAGTGTAGACTTGACCTAGTGACTTGTTTCTAAGGAACAACATGGCAAAAGTAATGGAATATCGCTGCTGATATCATGTTACAAAGAGACTGTGATTACCACCTTGGGTCCTCTCTTGTACTCGCTTGCTCACTTCCTCTGAGGGAATCCAGATGCCATGTTGTGAGCCGCCCTATGGCGAGGACTGAGGAGGCCAACAGCCAAGAAGAACTTGGGCACTCAGTCCCATATTCTGTAAGGAGCTGAATCCTGCCAACAACCATGTAGTGAGCTTGGAAGTAGATCTCTCCACATCGCCCCCACTCCAGTGAGCCTTCAAATGAGGCTGTAGCCCCAACTGTCAACACAAGTTCAATCTTGTGAGAGACTTGATTCAGACGCACCTAGCTAAGTCATGCTTGGATTCCCAACCTCCAGAAACTGTGGGATAATAAATATTTGATGTTTGTGTTTTGGCGTTACTTGTTATGCAGCAATAGAACTAACACAGAAGCCCTTCATTAGACTGAGAAAGTTCTCTTTAATTCCAACTGCTGAGAGGTGTTTTTTAAAAATAATGAATGGATGTTGAATTTTGTCAAGTGCTTTTCTCTATCTATTGAGATTATCTTAGATTTTTCTTATTTAGTCTGTTGGTCTAGTGAATTACATAGATTGATTTGAAAATGATGAACCAACCTTGCATTCCTGGGCTAAAACCAACTTGGTTATGATGTTCTATCATTTTGACACATTACTGGAGTTGATTAGTAATATTTTATTGAGGATTTTTACATTAATGTTTCTGAGAGATATTGATCTATAATTTTCTTGTAATGTCTTGGTCTAGTTTTGGTATCAGGGTAATGCTGATCTCATGAAATGAGTTAAGAAGTGTTTCCTTCTCTTCTATTTTCTGGAGAAGTTTACATTAAATTGGTATTATCTGTTCCTTAAATGTTTGGTAGAATTTGCCAGTAAAGCCACCTGAGCTTGGAGTTTTCGTTGTTCAACTGTTTTTAATTAAAAATTCTATTTCTTTAGTAAAATACAGGACTATTAGAATATCTATTTCTTCTTAAGTGAGCTTTGGGAGTTTGTGTCTTCCAAGGAATTTGTCTATTTCACCTACATATTTAAGTTTATGGGCATAAAGTTTTTTATATATAATATTACCTTATGACCCTTTTAATGTCTATAGAGTACATGGTGGTGTTCCTTATGTCATTCTTGATTGTTCGTAGTTTAAGTTTTTTTTCCTTCTTTTTCCTTATCAGTTTGACTAAGGCTTACAAGTTTTATTGGTTTTTTTTAAAAGAAACAGCTTTGATTTAATTGATTTCCTCTGTAGTTTTTCTGTTTTTCAATTTCATTGATTTCACCCCTTTATTGTTTTCTTCCTTCTGCTTGCTTTACTTTTAGCTGTTTTTCTAGTTTTTCAAGATGGAAGCTTAGACCATTAATTTTAGATCTTTCTTCTTTTCTAATATAAGCCTTTAATACCATAAATTTTCCTCTAAACACCACTTTAAATGCATACCAGAAATCTTAGTATGTTGTATTTTCATTGCCATTCAACTCAAAATATTTTCTAATTTCCCTTGTGACTTCCAATTTGAGCCATGGGTTATTTTGAAGTGTGTTGTTTAATTTCCAACTGTTTGGGGATTTTCCAGATATCTTTCTGTTCTCGATTTCTAGTTTAATTCCATTGTGTTCAGAGAAATCCTTTTGTATGATTTAAATTCTTTCAAATGTTTTGAGATTTGTTTTATGGCTCAGAACATGGTGTATGTTGGTGCATGTTTCTTTTCGAAAATTCAAAAAATTTATTTTTAAATGAGGTGGGGAAGTCAACGTGAATTTCTCCAGAGCTACCTTGTCTGGAGTTCATACCAGGCTAAAGTGAGTCTGGAAAATTAACTTTATGGACTCCGCGAGGTTCAGTACCCAGGGAGGCTGGCACAGGGCCAGGCGCAGTGGTGCTTGGAGTAGGGACGAGCGCACAGTTGTGCACGACTAAGGGGCAGTGACCCAGAAAGCCAGCGTGACTTGCAGCTGCATTAGTTGTTTTGTTTGGAGGAAGCTGGAGCAAAATATTTGAGAAGAACTTTGAAGGGGAGGCAAAAACCTGATGCCACCGTTTAGCACCAAACAGAGAAGATGCTGTGGCCTCTGTCCTGTCAAATCACAGGCAGTCCTTTCAGTGGCAGGACTGCAATTGCTTTTGATATCAAAGAATTGTAACTTCTGGAAAGTATAGTTTTTGGGAAGCTGAGGCATGGTCTGATCCATGGACTTTTCTTCTCAAGCCAGTGCAAAGAGCAGTGAAACAGCATGAGGATTCTCCACGTGTGGCAATCTTTTCTTTTCAGCTCTGCATAATTAGAATGCTTCAGTGTCCTTGGATAACACAAGCAGTCCCGTGGGACGTTAATCATTGAAGGCAGCAATAAACACTCAGTAGAGTAACACGTGGTAGGAAAAAGAGCCTGGATTTGGAGCCGAAGACAGGGTTTCTACCTTCTGACTGGTGTTTGATCTCGTGTGAGATAATTACTATTGCCTAAACAACAATGGCTGTGTACCTAGTGCCTACTTCGTCGCGGGCATCATGCTGAGAACATTTTATACACAAGCCTCACAACAACCCTAGGAGATGGGCACCACTCCTCTCCTGCAGTTTCAGCTGAGGACAGTGTGTTTTAGACTGGGTCGGTCACTTGTCTGGGGACATGAAGCTCGGGAGCTGTGAGGCGGGGAGTGGGGCGCGGGCAGGCAGACTCTAGGACCTTTGCTCCTGACTGTTTCGCTCATACTCCCTAACGCACAGGGTGGTTGTCAGGATTTCTGAGTTGACCCGAAGCACTTATAACACACAATGTAGCTCCCTCCTTTGTTCACGCTGCAATGAGCCTTGTCATTATGCGTCCTTCCCACAGTAGCTCAGCAACTTCTGTGTGAGCAAACTCCCCCCAGGGTGGGCAGAATACTAATACCTCATCCAGTGCTGAGCCCAGGGGCAAGGCTTCAGGGTCCCCCCTGCCGCTCCCCAATTATATTGTTATTCTGTCTCATGTGAATTTAATTCATAGTCTGGCCAGAAGGACCTAGAGTGGGTAGAGGAAATGTCTTCCTCCCCTACAGAGGAAAATATGGGGTCATTGTTCCTTATCCTTAAGAAAGAAAGAAATACCTACCTATTATGTAGTAAAAGAAGCTTTATTAATGGATGCACAGGGTTGTGGGATCCTGAAGAAGACTTTGGAACTGGGCTTTACGGAATTTCAGTGGTATCCACTGCGGGTTTTCAGGATACATAAAGTGAGAAATAATTTTACACTGGAAAGCTGGATACAGTCGGTGCTTTAACAGAGAATTTATGTGTCAAGTGGCTGGGCGCTCTGGCAGGTGCTCAGTGACCAATACACATCACTGGATTCTCTGTCTTCTCACCATCGCGAGATAATCACAGTGAAGAAACTAATCCAGGAAGATTTAGATTTGAGAAACATTACCAGGATGAAGTCATATACCCCAAATTAAATGTGGTATTTAGAGCGTGCTAAATCTTACACTTACCAAAATCACTGAGGAAAGAACTTGTGGTTGAAGATCATAATGATTTAATGAACTAGTTCACTCACATGTGGTGAGTGGTTGTTTTTTAAGCTTCACCAAGTGGTGGTTTATAACTATACACGACATCTGTTGCTTTTTCCAGCCCAGCATCCGTTTCTCCTTGTTAAAAGCCCAACACCCATTCCTTCTGCTTTGGGTTTCTGTCTCAGTGGGACCATCACTCCAGGTACCTCACCCTCCGTGGCCAAGGGCTAACCAAGCCTAGGCCACGTGGATCCTCTTCCCCAGGAACCTGAGTCTTGCATGACAGTGCAGTGCAGAAGGCTTTTGGAGTGTTTTCCTCCTAGGGCTCAAAGAGACTGTCTGCTGGCTCCTTCCTGTTCCTAGGTCTTCTCCAAGCCCAGTTCTTTAGCTTTTTCTTTAATCCATGACAATCAAAGAGCCATCAAAGAACCCTGATACAGGAGCTTAACTGCCAATAATGTTTATTTCAGATACATTTTCTCTGCCTGGAATGCCCTTTACTCCTATCTTTACATTTCCAAATACTTTGTATGTTTCCTTTAGAGACGTGGACTGGTTTAATGGTTTTCTTAGATGTTTGCGCTACATTTGATAGGTTTTGATTTAAGCAGTCATAAAAGGACCGTCTGAATTCAGACAGACAGATGGACGCGGGATCCATCCCAGCTTTCCAACTAAACGTGTGTGGGGCAGTTGTAGACATCAGATCTCCCTTTGGGAGGGACCTGCTGTGGGAAATGCATTAGCCTTCAGCATTTGCCTCCACCCTGGCCAGGCTCTCCCCAGGCTGCTCCCAGCTGATGACCAACTGAGTTCTGGATGGTTTGAGAGCGGAGTCATTGCTTATCAATGTGGGACTCCTCCAGTGGGCAGTCTCTGCTCTGGGGCTCCCCATTTACCTGCCAAGATGTTCTCAGAGCTGCAGTGTGAGGCTCGACCAAGTCCCATCCCTCCCCTTCTCGTTTCACAGGTGTCACATCTGTGCTGTCTCCCTGCTCACTCCTGCTCACTTCCTCTTCTTCTTCACACAGCTGTTTCCCCAAATGGATCTCCTGCACTTCACTTCCATCTGATGTTTGCTTCTAGAGAACCCAGTCCGTGACAATGACTGACCACTGGTCTTCTCATTTATAAAATAGGAACCCCACTGCCTACATCATAGGGTCCATGTCTCCCCAGTGTGGGTCTTGGCACAGAATCTAATGAGGGTCTTTTATTGACGTATAAGTACACAGAAAAAATGCATCAGTCACGAGTGTACAGCTTGCCCAGAAGTGAGAGATGGAATGTTCCCAGCCCCTTAAAAGCTCCCCCTCATGCCCCATCCCAATCATTATTCCCTCACTCCTCCTCAGAGGTCACTACCATCCTGATTTCTAATCCTAAAGATTAGTGTGCTTGCTTTCAAACTTCTTTTAAGTGAAATCATACAGTATACTTTTAATGTGTGGATTCTTATACAAAACCTTATATTTGGAGGGACTGAAATCCATGTTGTCAGTAGAAGTTCATTCTTTTTGATCGCTCTGCTGTTCTTTTTGATTGTTGATTTTGAGTTGTGAATATACCACGACTTATTGATCCCTTCTACTGTAGATGGACATTTGGGTTGTTTCCAGTTTCTGGCAAGAATGAACAATGCTGCTATGAACAGTCTTGTGTGTGTCTTTCAGTGAACATGTCTTTTAGGTGTAGACCTATGATGGGAAATGCTGGGTTACAAGGTGTGTGTTCAGCTTTAGTTTCTCAATGTGACTGTATCAATTTACATTCCTGCCAACAGTGTGTAAGAGTTCCAGTTGCTCCATATCCTCATCAGGACTTCACGCTGTCTCCTCTTTCATTTCAGTCATTCTGGCAGATGTGTAATCGCATTGTACTGTGGTTTCACTTTGTAGTGGCTTTATTGCCTAACTTGTATTTCCCTGGTAACTGATGAAGTTGAATATCTTAAGTGTTTATTGACTCCTTGGATGTTCTCTCTCTGTTTAGCTTTATTGAGGTATATTTTACATACCATAAAATGCAGTCATTTAAATTTTGCAAATAAACGATTTTTAGTAAGTTTACAGAGTTGTGCAACTATCATCATGATCTAATTTTAGAACATTTCCATCATCTCAAAAAGAAACCTCATGCCCATTTACAGTCACTCAATTCTCAAGCGTTGCCCCTTGTGATCACTTGTGTACTTTTTGTCTCTACAGATTTACCTTTTCCGGACATTTCATATAAACAGAATCACTGCAATATGTGATCTCTTGTGATTGGTTTCTTTCATTAACATGTTTTTGATTTTCATCCACATGGCAGCATGTACCAGTACTGTACTTTGTTCTTTTCATTGCTGAATAGTATTCCACTGCATGGATATGACACATCTTAATTATCTGCTTACCGGTTGGTGGATATTTGGGTTGCTTCCACTTTTTGGCTATTGTGAATAATGCTGCAATGGACATTTGCGTACAAGTCTTTGTGTGGACATAGTTCCTCTAGGGCACATACCTAGGAGTAGAATTGCTGGGTCATATGGTAAATCCATGTTTAACATTTTTAAGAAAGTGCCAAACTGTTTTCCAAAGTGTTGTACTATTTTACATTCCCACCAGCAATGTGTAAGTGCCTCAGTTTCTCCACAATCTCACCTATTTGTTTTTATCTTGTCTTTTTCATTTTAGCCATTTTGGTGGGGCTGTGAAACTACTGCATTGTTTTTTTTTAAATATGCATTTCTCTGATAACCAAGGAAGTTGAATATATTTCCACATATTTATTGACTACTTGGATGTTACCTTTTTGTGGAATGCCTGTTCAAAATCTTTTGACCATTTTTCTGTTGGGTTGTCTGTCTTTTTGTTATTGATTTGTGGAAGTTCTTTATATCTTCTGGGTAGGTCTTTTGTGGATATATGTAATGCAAGCCTCTTTTCCATTTTGTTGCTTGCCTCTTCATTCTTTTAAAGATGCCCTTAGATGAACAGAGTATCTTTAAGTCCATTTTATCAACTTTTTCTTGTAAGTCAAAGTCTTAATGTATTATTTAGGAAATCTTTGCTTATTCTGAGTTCATGAAGATATTATGTTTTATTTTAAAAGCATTATAGTTTTATATATTTTATAATCTATTTAGTATTTTTGTTTATTGTGTGAAGTTGCTGTCAAGATTAATTTGCTTTTCCATTATTGTTTTCCATATAATTTATTGAGAAGCCATCCTTTCCTTCACTCCACTGCAGTGCACCTGTCTTACACAAGGTAACCAAGTGGGGGTCTGTTCCTGGACTCGACTGTATTTCATCGTCTATCTTTGTGCCAATGTCACACTATCTTACCTGCTAGAGAAGCCTTATCCTAACTCTAGGAATGTGGCAGCCTAAGACTCACAGGTTTGTTTTTCTTCTTCAAGATTTCCTTGAGTATTCCCGGCCCTTTGCATTTTATATAATTGTAGAATCAACTTGTCAATTTCCATAAAATACCTGCTGTAGTCACACAGAATCTTTAAATCAGCTGACATGTTTGCAATATCAAACCTAACTCATTAACAGGACTTCTTTAACTTCTCTCATTAATGTTTTGTAGTTTTATACAGAGATCTTGCATGTCATTTTATTTCTCCCTAGATATTTGATGGTTTTCTATATTACAAATGGTATCCTTTTAAAATTTCATTTTGTGTATTGCAAGTTTATGTATATGTAACTTTTTTATGTTGACAGTGCATCCAGCTGCTTTTCCAAATTCACTTATGATTTCTAACGTTTATTTGCAAACCATAGCATTTTTATTCCTTTCTAAATCTTTTAATCCTTTACTTTAATTTTATTTCTTTTTCTTAGTTTTCTTGGTTTATTGAACTGATTAGGACCTCCAAGACAATGAACGAGTGGTGAGAGTGAGAATATTGGACTTATTCCTGATGTCAATGCAGTAGGTTTTTTTTTTTTTGCTGGGAAAGATTTGCCCTGAGTTAACATCTGTTGCCAATCTTCCTCTCTCTCTCTTTTTTTTACCTCCCCAAAGCCCCAATACATAGTTGTATATTCCAGTTGGAGGTCCTACTAGTTCTTCTATGTGAGCCGCCACCACAGCATGGCTACTGACAAGCGAGTGGTGTGGTTCTGAGCCTGGGGACTGAACCTGGGCTGCTGAAGCGGAGCATGCTGAACTTTAACCACTGGGCCATTAGGGCTGGCTCTCAATGTAGCAGATTTTTAACAAATGTTTCCTGCTTTTTTCCTAAGAAAGACGAATTAAGAACAGTCTGAAATTCTCATTAAAACCTAAAATGATCCCTTTTGCTAGGGTTGGTATGGGAGAGTTTCTTGGACCATTGGTACAAGATATTGGTTATTTCTCTAATGAAAAAGCTTATAAGAAACTTGAAAAAAGCAGAATTAAAAAAGTTCCCTGGGGCTGGCCTGGTGGTGCAGTGGTTAAGTTCACACGTTCCGCTTCTCAGTGGCCCGGGGTCACTAGTTCGGATGCCGGGTTTGGACATGGCACCACTTGGCAAAAGCCATGCTGTGGTAGGTGTCCCACGTATAAAGTAGAGGAAGATGGGCATGGATGTTAGCTCAGGGCCAGTCTTCCTCAGCAAAAAGAGGAGGATTGGCAGCAGTTAGCTCAGGGCTAATCTTCCTCAAAAAAGAAACAAAAATCCCCCTGACAAGTCTACCAACGTGTGACACACAATGACAGGAACAACTAAAGAATGAAAATGTGCTCCTTATGCCCTCAATTAACTTCCTGGTGAAAATAAACTTCAGTGCACATGACCTCACTTAATGCTCCTAAGAGCCACATGAAGTGGCCATTATTTCCTATCAACAGATAAGGAGACGGAGGTCCAGATGGGTCAGTAAGTTGTCTGAGCTAAGGGCTAAGTGCTGTGTGGTTCGAAAGTGACAACTGAGTGTTAACATTGAGACGTACAATCTATACGTGCGGTAGAAATTCTGAAACACAGACAGGGGTCTGGCTGAAGCAGTCACAGCTGTCAGGTAAAAGTTTAGCTTCACCTGAGTGCCTTGAGTGAAGTAAAGGATTTATATTTTTGGTGAAAAATCAGAATTTCGGGGTGGGGAAGCCGTTGTGAGTCTAGCAGTGAGGCTGGAATGATCATGTGCCGGTGTTCCATGGGGCTGGGAGGGGGGCAGGAGGGAAGGCTGGACAGGAGGCTTAGCCAAGAAGAGTTTGATGAAAATGCTTTCTCTCACAAGACCTTCTAATTTACTCAACCCAGTTTTCTTCCCCTGATTACGACACCTCCTTCCACATCATGCATATGTCAGCTCTACCACTTACCAGATGCCTACTCTGCGTGAGGCAGGTGGAAGGAGCTGGACTTGCTCTGTGTGTTTGCTCACTGGCTATCATGGAGCACTGGTTCAAGATTTTACTTTTAAGTTTTCTTTTCTTTCTTTTTTTTTTTTGAGGAAGATTAGCTCTGAGCTAACTGCTGCCAATCCTCCTTTTTGCTGAGGAAGGCTGGCCCTGAGCTAACAACCGTGCCCATCTTCCTCTACCTTATATGTCCACCACAGCATGGCTTGCCAAGCGGCGCCATGTCTGCACCTGGGATCCAACCCAGCGAACGCAGGGCCGCCAAAGCAGAACATACGCAGTTAACTGCTGTGCCACCAGGCCAGCCCCTTAAAGTTTTCTTTGACATTAAAAAAAAAATCAAATGTAGGCACACACATAAATAACCAAATAGTCCTATAAAGTTTGTCACCAAAAAAGCAGGCTCCTCTCTCACCTCAAAAACAACTTTTCCTTCTTTTAGCAGATTATTTTATTTCCATGTCACTAAATAAGCTGTTTCTTGATTTTAAAATTTTAGGTATTATCCATTGGTTTCCCACTGTGAAAGATGAGGATTGAGGTGACTTTTCTACCTCACCTCCACAGCACCAAGTCCTGTCCCCATATAATCATGTTTCGATTTTGATTTTAATATTTACTGTTACCAAGGTTATGCCATTCAACCACTGGTCATACTTTTTCTTTTTTATACAAATTTTGCCTTCCTGGAGTTAATAACTGTCAGTTTTTTGTCTGATTTCAATTTTAGGTAAGTTTTTGCTTAGAAAAAATATCATCACTGATTGAACGCTGGGGCCCTGAGAAACAAGCCCTGCACACACTTCTGATTTCAGCCTCAGGCCTTCTCTGACACTTAAGGAGTCTACCTGGGCCCAGTGCAAGGCGCAGCTTGCTCCTTCAGGAGATGATGCCCCTGGCAGCAACTCAACCAGGAGGAGTGAGAGCCGTGGATAAATGCTCCAGCCACTTGTCTTTCAGGAGACAATTGTGGGAGCTATCACATAGCTTCTTACAAGAACTGGTGGAACTGAGCTGCCGTTGTATACACAGCAAAGGCCTCAAAGATGCACCCTTTACTGACCTTATATTGACCTTTCTGCCTCATCCATCTCAGTCTCACAAGTCCCTCCATCCTATTTTCTGGGGTCTTTAAAGTAAATGATCTCCTGTGTTCATGTCTTAGCCTGGTTTAGGGGGAACCTCTCATTCTTCGCTAGTTGTCTAACTCTTAAGATACTGAGATGCATCAGGTATTTTATTAGTTCAGTCTTTCTGAAAAAGTCTCTCTAGGAGCTTCTAATATCCTTCAACATGTCCTCTGTGCCTGGTGGGGTATCATCCCTGGGGATCCCATCACCATCATCTGGGGATTTCCTTCATCTCTCTTCTTTGCTGAATCCCATTTTCTGCATCCTGTCTTCATTTTGCTTGGTTTATGCCCTTATTTTTAGGATGCACATCTTCTAGCTTCCTGAGAAAGGCTATATGGAAGGCAGAGTTTTTGAGACTTTGTACCACTAAAACTGTTTTCATTTTACCCTTAGGTTTGATTAACAGTTTATTTGGAGCCAGAACTTTAGGTTGGAAATTTCTTTCAGAATTTTGAAGGCAGTAACTGCTTCTGTCGAAATTCGAAGCCATTCTGATTCTTATTCCTTGGTATTTGACCGGCCGTTTCTCTTTGGAAACAGATCTCCTCTTTGACCCTGAACTTTCATCGTGTGCTTTGGATGGGCTTTTTCATCCACTGTGTTCTTTCAATCTAAAACCTGAACGTCTCCAGACTGGAGAAATTTCTTGCAATCCTCTACTGATTTCTCTTTTTTCTTTTTGGAACTCTGGGAAATTGGATACTGGGCCTCCTGGGCTGTTAATTTTCTTAACGTTTTTCCTCCAATATTTCCGTTTCTTTTTATTTTCTGAGAAATGTCTTCATCTTTATATTCTAAACCCTCTACTGAATTATTCAGCTATCATATTATTTTCCAAGAGCTCTTGTTGTTTGACAGCTTCTTTTTTCAGTATCCTACTCAATCACAGTTCAACATCTTTCCGAAGCTATTTTTCTTTTGACCTTTTCTTCATCCTGCACAGCCTGTCTGCCCTAAGTGCTCCCTCCCAGCTGTTTTCTCTTTCATGGTAGAGGCTCTCCTCATATGTTTGATAACGCTTGGGTGTTTAGTCATTTTTAATAGCAGAGGACTAGAACACCAACCGTGCTCTGGATGCGTGGGGTGGTGGGCAGGCCAACTACGGTTTTCACTGTGCAGTTATCTAGCTGGGCAGTTTAGCTGGGACGGCTCTGATGTCAGGCTCTCTTTAGGTCTTTCCACTTGTACTGGCCGGATGGCACAGAGATGACTCTTCCGATACTGCTGGGAGGGGAAGATCTGGCTGCCGGGATTCAGTGAGAGGAGGATATTGGTCTTTGTATCCAGTACGTAAGCATCTCCTGTTTTGAGTATGGTTCCTGTCATCTATGGTATCCAGTGTCCTCAGTCCAGAGGCATGATTTAATAGACCCAAAATAAACAGCCACGCACTTACTGAAATCATATCATACGTGCATTTTTAAAAGACAAAACTTTATATTTCATTTGCATAACATTTTATTGTTTGTATATTGCATAGTGAAAAGAACAGAGTCACAAGACTCATGGTCTGGCTCAACCCCTAACTTGCTGTGTGAATTGGGTAAGTCTCTTAAATTTGCTAAATCCTTATTTCCTTGTCTGAAAAATGGAGATGATAATACCTATTGTACAGAACTGCTAAAGACTGAATGAGATAGTTATACGTTTTCCTCTCGAGTAACTGCTCAGAATAAATCCGTAGTCTGCTCCTGCTGATCCTGGCTTGTCATCTCAATGCTAATTGTTCTCAGCAAAGGCATTAAGACAACAGGTACCGGGGGACATTCTAATTTGAATACTAACAACAGCAAAAGAGAAGCAAACTCAAGAAAGGCCCTATCCTCTCTTATTTTTGGAATACTGGTTTTTATAATACTTATTTAAACTATCATATCAGGAATTCAATTTCATTTAAAGATTTTTTTTTTTCTTAAACATACTCAGAATGAATACCTACATATGTGAAAAACTCAAGACGACACACAGTTCCCTCTGGTAGAGGATAAGTGAGATACATATCACAGGCAGTTAAACACTTTTCCCTACATTAGGGATGATAATATATATAAAGATTAAGTTCTTATGCATTATCCCCAATGTAAAACAAAATCACAGGTATACTATACTGCTTGTCAAGAATACATACACATGGTGGCCACATCTAGACACAGACACTCCTTCTAACTATATTTCAATATTTCAATATCTTCTGTATGACCCCATACAACTATCTGTAGTTGAAAACACAAAACTCCCTTTTAAGGCAATTCTGGATGATATTGTAGTACAAAATACTTGCGTTAAGCACAACTGCATGTATGCATTGAACCTCACAAGTACTACTCTTAAAAGGTAAACACAATTTTTATACATTATAAAAAAATTTAAGCTGCTCTGTAACCCTCCTTTACTAAAAGTTAGATACATTACACCACTCCAGCAAGAGATTAATAAATAAGGATTAAATATTCTATTTTACAAAAACATACAGAATGGCCAATGTAAAAGTGAAAGGCTTACTTGATAATTTCTTTATCAAATTATGTTCATTAAGAAGTAATAAAACATGGTAAAAAAAATGAAAAAAACTATCACTAACTCTATCTCTCTGAAGATAATCACATGAGTTATCTAAAAATATCATGGCACCCTTGTTACAAACATTATTTTTTAAAAAGACTGTGTTTCCTGGAACTAGAGAACTATTTGTCTGGTAGCTTTTATTAAGCAAACTTGATATAACCACCACACAGTGGCAAGAGATAGAAGAGCTGTTTCCAGCTACAGAAAATATTGAATTCTACCTTAAAGTACAGATCATCTGAGATATAACCCATAACAGTTAAAGAAAATTATAAAGTAGTTTGTACTGAATTTCCTTAAGATATTTTTGCCTTCAATGGAATATGTTCGTTTTCCTGTCATCTGAGATCAGTTTCTGTTGCTTAGTAACTATTTTCATGTCCAGCCAAGATGTAAAGGTTGCTGTGTGCAGTAGGATTTTCTGTTGGCCTACTTTCCAAAACGACAACCCTGCAATTAAACCAAAACAAAAGTCTTGTTTAAGAATAAAGACAGAGGCTGCATACGCTTTAGACACTGACATCTCACCAGGAAAGAACATCATCGTCCACGTTCTCCTAAGAGTACATAAAGATCTCAGAAGTACAAATTCAGCTTTAGGCTTTATAGTTTAAAAAACAAACTGAATAAATTGATGAATTTATGAATATAAAATACTGAAAACATTTCAGGATAGTCTCATTATCTTATTCCAACTAAAAACAAATTTGCTTCCTCATTTAAGCCAACAACAAAAGGAATAATAAAGCTTTAGGATATACAGTAAAGGAAGTAGGTGGAAGAGAGACACCATCCAAACTGTTCTTCAAGGTATTTGAAAATAAATAGTTAAAAAAATCATGAAACGGGGCCTGTTTCTCTTGTCTTGGGAACAAGAGCAGGGAAGGAGTTCAATCAAAGGACCAATAAGAAGAAAAATCAATGAAGTGCCATATCATAGGATTTACACTGTGGGGAAGATGGATTTAAAACAAAATAAAAAATAATATACCTATGCAGAGAAAAAAGTGTAGAAGAGGAAATTGCATAAATACTTTATGTTTTTCTAGTGTATGAAGTTTATACAACTAGCATATTACTTTTATAATGAAACCAATAAAAAAGTAATATATACTTTATATTATGCATTACAGGGAAAATAAAATTACCTATAATCCAACTGTCCAGAGTTAACCATTATTAATATTTTGACACACTTAGGTTTTTTTTCCTAGACACAAATATCTATCTTTAAACAACAATACAATTTTTTAAACCACCTTAAAAGTTAAGACAAAACAAAAACTTTGCTTAAGATATGGATCTTAAAATCAAGGAGATGCCCAAGTAAGAAGATAACCAGAATAAGGCAAAGATCTAAGAAAGCAGTTTTTTAGGACAAATAGTGACAGAGAATGGAGAAACAATACAGACAAAGAAGGGAATAGTTGCAGGAGGACATTCCGGGGGGAGGGGTGGAAGGAGAGAAGTGAGGAGAAGCGGCTTCGGTGCCCCTCTGTTCAGCAGAATTCTCCCACACCAGGTCTCCTTCAGGCACTCTTCGTGCCAGCATCATCAGGTGATCCACAATTCTTTTGCCAGCCCTTCCTGTGGAAGCAAAGAGCCTCCCAATCTGGACTCACCTAGCAGGTGGTCCTCAAACCTTTCTCTCTCTCTGTCTTACAGGACTAATTGCTAAGTTGCATGCTCTGTGGGTTTACCTTCTACTCATTAAGGTAGTTGCCATTAAAAAAAATCCTTTTTCTCCCTACCAGAGTCTCTCTAACATTTTTATGGAGTCATAACTCCATTTCCTCCCATTTCCTTAAGTCTAATATTTAAGCAATGCTCCTGTGACTAGAGCTTCTCAATCCTTGCCCAGGACGAATGCATACTACTATACCAATTCTGCTGCAGTAACAACTTTTGGCAGGAAAATAGGAAGGAATGGGTATTTTATTAGTTGTAGAGGGAGACTTTATAGACTTTGGAGAACAAAAGCTACTAAATGTTTTTCACAAGATGGTGCAGTTTTGGAACTTGTCTTCCATTTTAACCAGAGACCACATAATTCCTTCTAATTTAGACTGACCTCAGACACTGAGTGGAATATCTTCGGATACAAAAGCAAATGTCAGGAGGTGCATATTCTGTTGGATTCATATAGTAATGGTTAACAGAGGGTAACGTGCAAGGAGGAAATGATGAAAACAAAGGAGCACGGAGTATGTTACGGGCCCAGGGACATCAGCATGTGTTAACACCTTTGTCTTGGCTGATGTAACATCTCTAGAATCACGATCCTCACTGACAAAAGATTGCTTCATCGACTAATTAAAATATCATTCCTTCAATAAAGATATGGGGAAATTTCTCTCTGTTGCTGAGCCCTCTGGGTTTTGTGTGAAACACAGCCACAGGCTGACAGTATAATTAAGAACACAACCACTGAACTCCTTTGGTAATTAAAGTAAAACCACCAAACTATTACCTGTCTGATCCTAGTAAGCGGAAAACTCTTGTTTCATCTGAAATCTCCTGGGTAACCTACGAAAGAAAATACCTATCAGTTAATATCTTAGTCCTCATATTATTTAAATAATTTAAAAATCATTTAGGTGAGAAATTATTAAACAGAATAATTTTTGATAGACTTAATTCCTCAAGTGAAATTTCAGTAAGTTCTTTTGACTACCTATTAGCTGAAATAAACCAACATTTATGGAGCATCTGGTATGGGCCAGGCACTTCCCTTAGAACTCTGCGATATTATTATAATTCCCATATTATTGAAGAAAAACTAAGGCTCAGAGGTTAAGTAACTTGCTGAACGTCATACAACTGATAGACCCATGATTTGAATTCAGCTTTGCTGGACTGCAGGGCCCCTGCTCCTTCCTTTATGTCCGGGTGCAGGTGCTCAAGGTGGTGCCCCAAGGCCCACCCAGTGTTGGCTGAGCCGTGGTGGACTTCCTCATGCCAGTGTCTTACATTAGTGTATCTGTGGTGCTCCTCTGCTGTTTTCTCCAAAGCTGTAGAAGAAGGTACTCAGCCATGCGCAGGTACTATTTCAAAGTGTGGGGAGTGTACACCCTGGGGCAACCCTTACCCAACAGCAGTTGATGTATAAACACACCAGCCTCCCCACCTTCAAAGGAGTCAATTCTGAGGTGTGTTCTACACCATTCCTCAGTGGTCCCTATGGGATTAAGTCTTGGTTGCCCATAGTGGGAAGCAGTTTATTAATATGATCTTTATTGGCTTTTTGCCTCTTCCCATCTTATATTCCTCACTCCATCACCTGTCTTCTGGGATCTACTCCAAAATAAACTACCGGCACCTGAGTCCTTGTCTTAAAGGTCAGCTTTTGGAGGAACCCAAACTATGACAGCGTGGATATAAAATAAGTATAAAAATAGTCTGCCATCAATAAATTTGCAGCCTAGCTGGGAAGAGAGAATTAATAAACTTGAATCAGAAAATAAATTAGGTGCTGTATTAGGTGGAGCTAATTTTCAGAGTATTAAGTTCAGAAATGTTCCAATCATTGTGGACTGGAGTGGCTGAATATTACTTTATGATATTAGAGCTGGACCCAAATTGAAGGATAAGAACATAAGCAGAGGGCCAGCCGGGTGGTGCAGCGGTTAAGTGCACACGTTCCACTTCGGTGGCCCGGGGTTCGCCCGTCGCATCCTGGGTGCGGACATGGCACTGCTTGGCAAGCCATGCTGTGGTAGGCGTCCCACGTATAAAGCAGAGGAAGATGGGCACAGATGTTAGCTCAGGGCCAGTCTTCCTTAGCAAAAAGAGGAGGATTGGCAGCAGATGTTAGCTCAGGGCTAATCTTCCTCAAAAAAAACCACATAAGCAGAAAGAAAGAGGTAAGCAAGATGAGTTAAAAATAGGAAACAGAATCTGTACTTGAGACAGTGAACAACAGGTATCCTCTATAGCTTTCTAACCACAGGAGTGACACAATGAATACAGCATCTAAGG